GAGCTGCTGAATTTCCCATGAACAGTCTCCAGCTCTTGAGCTGTTAAATGTGTGTCTGTAAAGACCCAACTGCACTTCTTAACTATGGCAGTCAATCAATATTTAAATTATTAGCCCTATCACTTACTTTGTCCGTTATAGGGAGTTCCTCCATAAAAACAACCCACTGTCAGCTTCCTTGTGATATCCTTGAAATCTTTGGCAACCTGATTTGCCAGCTCTCTTGTTGGACAAAGAACTAGAACCTGCATAGAAAAAAGACAAAACAGATGTTTTCTCAGCATGGCTTCTGCCAAGAAACCACTAGACTTCTGATCATTAATTTAGATCTAACCCTTTGTAAAATTAAATTTTAAAAATCTGTTTTAAATAATTATCTAAGCAAAGGCTGGAGAAGCACACTGCTCAAGTCTCTTATAACATCATTAAACTCTTCAACATATACACATTTAGGACAGGCTAGATTCCTTTTAAACAGGATAGGAGGGACTTAAATCTTATTTAGCCCCAGCTCCTGAACAGACCAGCTACAAGTTTTCTTCTCCATGTGCATATGCTGACTGAAATCAAGACTGAAGGACATGGGCTACAAAAGGTTTTTGCTTCACAGTCCTGTGAGAAGGTGCAAGGCTTTGAGCTGTCAGCTGTCTCTCAGCTTCCCTGTGGCTCAGGGAAAACATATGTTAGTCTGCAGAGCTGCTGTGCTAATCCATACCCCTGCAGAGGCACCCAGGGAACCATCCTCTCTTCCAATATGCAGCCCTCCCTGCAGGCAGGTTAATTGATTGTGTTTAAAACGTGACTGAAGCACTGCTCTGCAGCCTGGGAGCAGTCACTTCACAAAAGGAACATTAATCCTTATCCCAATACCTCCTTCAACATCAAAACCTATTACCAAACAGCAGGCAGTGGTGTATTATGGTAGAGTGAGGTCTGGAATCTTTTGTAAGGCCTAGAGCTCCCTTGAAGAAAGCCCTTTCTTCTCCAAAAGACTGTGCCAAATCTAAAGATGGCATTCTCAGTCAGCCAAGCAATGTGATGGGCAGATGTATACAAAACTGCTAGTACTACTTCTGGAAGGCACTTCAGGTAATTTGTGAAATGACTGACAAGATGAAACAAACTGACAAAAATTAATGACCATGTGCTCAGCTTTGGCTTCTCTAGATTTTTTGGAGGCATCATAAGAATTCAGTGAATAACCACATGTAGTATTCCTTAGCAGAATGAACACAGCTCGTAACAAATCTGCATTCTATGGAGCAGAAGCTTCAACATTTGGTGGTGCTCCTAGAGAAAATTAAGCCTATTTTTAAAACCTCCCACTGTTTACATGTTTTAGAATGAAACATTTTTGAGTAGACAGCCTTTACCAAGCTGTCAAGTTACAATTAGTAACTAATCTGTTAGCAATTTTGGAGAAAAACAAGCATCCAGCAGCCACTAGCCCTGAACTGGTAATGTGACTGAGCAGAATTATGTAGGAACACGTTGACCACCTGTAGTTTTGGTCTCCCTGGCAGAAAAAGGAACTGACAAATGGATAGAGCTGTTGTGCTCCTCGCTCTTCTTCAGAGGCTGGAAGGCAGCACGGGATGCAGGCAAAGCCCAGTGGACACAGCTTTCAAATCACCTTTAATGTAGGTTAGCTTACCCCTGCACAGACCTGAAAAACTGCTCCAGCAGCTGAAAAACCTGAATCAGATGTAAGACAAAGCAAAATCACCATTCTACCAGGCACAGTTACCTTTGGTGGACGGCCTCTTCTTCTTTCCTGTGACTCTCCCTGAAGCTTTTCAATTAAGGGAATAGCAAAAGAGAATGTTTTCCCTGTTCCAGTTCGTGCTTGAGCAATGACATCCTTGCCAGTATACACTGGATTGAAGGTCTTCACTTGCACAGGGAACAGGTATGTCACTCCTCGAGCTGCGACAATTTCAAGAGATTTCCTTAATATTGTTATTTTACAAATGTTCTTTCATACTCCTCAGTGAAAATTATTGCAAGAAGAACTTCCATCAACTCTAAATTAAGTCAGAACCTCTACTGATTTATTTGATCATATGAGTCATCTGCAAAGAGTGGCCTGGGACTGTCAATTCTATTCTACTTCACACCACCAGACACAGTGCTAGCTAGCACAGAAGAAGTTATTAGCCTTTATGAAAGACTGTCAGCACTGTGCCTTTATTTATGCAATACTCCTTAGCTAGTCATGAAAATCTCTTCCTTTTAAATAATTCACATATCAAAACCCCTTCTGTTCTTAATTCGTACTAATTCACGTATAAGCAAACATCAAAAATACTAAATATAATTGGTTTTCCTTTATTCACACCAAAATAACCTTTAATTGAAAAATTCTCCACACATCATTTTTTTTTCTTGGCTCATGTCATTTAGAATTTTACTGCAAAGGCTGAAGTGCACAACACTGCAAAGTGTGTGGTCAAAGGTGTATTTAGAACAGGAAACCTAAGTCTTCTGCACAGCATCCATGTATGTACAGGCATGAGCAGAGCACATCTCAAAGCTTATTGATCCAGGGTGTAGAGCATAAAAACACAACAGAGGTCACTGACATACTATGGTCACACCTTGCCAAGAAACTTACCTTGAAGAAGCTGGACAGTTTCTTTGGAAATAGAAAAATTGGAGAAAGCACCCTCCTTCTGGTCTCCAGTCAACTCCTGTTATGTAAACAATAATTCAGGTAAGATTCCATGTGAATAATACATGACTATCAGTAAATTCAAGGTAATTCAAGTAAATTCAGTATAGACACTGGTGTCATACTCTTCAGTGACAGTGTCACAGCTGCAGCTGAAGAGCCTTCTTTGTTTTACCATCATATTTCAAACTTGGACAAAGTTAGCAAAAGTGATCTGGAGGTTAAGGCTGTTTCATACCTAACAGCACAATAAATGCAAAATACTCAAACCAAAACTGAAAACTCTTAATTAGAACTGTAGAATATCACGAGTTGGAAGGGACCCACAAGGACCACCAAGTCCAAGTCCTGGCTCTGTACAGGACAACTCCAAAAACCACATACACCTCATGATGCTGGATCATATTAAAGCTCCATCTCAGAGCAATCTGCCTGTCCAGCAACAGCTGAAGTGAGGAAACCATCATGCACTGGTCCAACACTTCAAGACTTTCATAATTCAAAATTCTTGCAAATTCTTGGCAGATTGAACAATTCAAGAACTTTAAATTCTGACGTTTTACAGCACTTTCGACTGATTAGGAAGGGGAGGAAAATGAGATAAAACCCCTTCTAAATTTGGCCGTGTTACAATGCATGAGTTAAAAGCCACAACACATCACTATAACCAAAAGCAGTCATTAGCTTTACCTGATCCTGATCGCTCTCACTTTCGCTGTCACTTGACGTGTCACTAGAACTACTCTGTCGGCTTCTGCGGGAGGATTTGCTGCTGAAGGAGGACAATCTCGATTTCTCCAGGCTTTCCTCTTTCGCGTGACCGTTCTGTTTGCTGACACTCTTTGATTTCTTGGCTTTCGGGGCATAACGCTCCGCATCCGATTCCTCGCTGTCATCTGTCTGAGTCTTTCCCCTTTGAAACTTGTCTCGGCGTTTAGATTTCTTCTCCTTTTTCTCCTTCTGACAAGGCACAGAGTAAATGAAAACACACGCTCGTGGATCCAAGCGACACGGAACAGAGCAGAGGACGCAGAACAGTTAAAGCTTGAAGCGCACGTTCTAGTTACTGACGGGGGCGGCGGCTGACACACGGCAATAGATCCCTGCCGGCCGCCGCCGCTCAGGAGACACGTTACCGACCACGAGACAACCGGGCCTTGGCTTCCGGGGCTCTGCCCGCTCCGGGCGCCGGGGAAGCGCTCCCGGGCTCCCGGCCGGCTGCGGCAGGCCCAGCGCGTCCGGCGGGGCCGCCCCGACACGCGGCGAGGCCGCGGCCCGCCCGCGCACGTGGCCGCCCGGCCCGGGCCGCCCCGCGGGCTCGCCGCGCACGCCGCGCCCGGCCCGCGCCACCGGCGGTGCGGGCGGCCGCCATCCGAGGCCGCGCTCGCCGGGCGCCGGCCCCAGCGGGCGGGCGCGGCCAGGCCGTACCCGGAGCCCTTCCCTGGTACCTTGTGCCGCCGGCGGCCGCTCTCCGGGACCCTCTCGGTATCCATGGAGCAGTCGGAGCCCGACTCGGCCCCGCTGCTGCTGCTGCACCGGGTGGCTTCGGGCATCTCCGCTCGCCGCCGCCGCTCCGCCACGCCGCGCTCCGCACCGGCCGCGCGCCCGCCGCGCGTCACGCTGCAAGCGGCCGAGGCGCCCGGCAGCCAATGGACGGCGGATCCGGCAGCGCGGGGGCGGGGCCACGCAGTCCAACGGCCAATGGCCTGCGGCCGTCGGCGCGGGACCACAACTCCCGGCGTGCCCCGGGGAGAACGTGAGGACTGCAGGTCCCGGCGCGCCCCGCGCGCCGCACGCGGAGGGGGGGCGGCCGCCATGAGGGCTCGGCCATGAGGGGGGCTCGGCCATGAGGGGGGCTCGGCCATGAGGAGGGCTCGGCCATGAGGGGGGCTCGGCCATGAGGGCTCGGCCGTGAGGGGGGCTCGGCCATGAGGGCTCGGCCGTGAGGGGGGCTCGGCCATGAGGGCTCGGCCGTGAGGGGGGCTCGGCCATGAGGGGGGCTCGGCCATGAGGAGGGCTCGGCCATGAGGGGGGCTCGGCTATGAGGAGGGTTCGGCCATGAGGAGGGTTCGGCCATGAGGGGGGCTCGGCCATGAGGGGGGCTCGGCCGTGAGGGGGGCTCGGCCATGAGGGGGGCTCGGCCATGAGGAGGGTTCGGCCATGAGGAGGGTTCGGCCATGAGGGCTCGGCCATGAGGTGGGCTCGGCCATGAGGAGGGTTCGGCCATGAGGGGGGCTCGGCCATGAGGGGGGCTCGGCCATGAGGGGGGCTCGGCCATGAGGGGGGCTCGGCCATGAGGGGGCTCGGCCATGAGGAGGGCTCGGCTTGTCCCGCCGCCCCCGCCAGGGCTCTGGCGCCCCCAGAACTAATCTCCAGTGGCTTTGCAAGCTGAACGACTTCAGCCTCCATAACTACCGCAGAGAAGCGCTTAGTAGCAGTGAAAAGTCTGAAGTAGGAAAGGGCAGTGTGACCAAATGACTAAGATTTAAAATCCACAAGCCTGTGTTGATACGCAGCATGGGCCCAGCACAATGTGCTTGTAGCTACAGGGATAAATCAAGAGGAAGAAGTCAAAATTTGCCTTAGGAATTAAAATGTGGGAAGCAATGCTGGCAGGATGTGGATTCCTTACGGGATGGGAAGGTCAGGACCAGCGCAGGGCCTGTCCCACAGTAGTGGCACTGGCCTGAGCTGCTGCCTCCTGCCACCAGCACCTTTTCATGTGCAAAGACTGAACCCTGCTCGACAGATGCACACCAGGTAGACTGAGGATAGCTGGGAGTGCTGCAGGACACAGTCAGGGAACCTTGGGATTGAAGGAACTTTTGTATAACCAGGTGCAGGTCTAGTTAATTTGTTTTGTTTTCTAGCAGGGAAAGTCAAGCATGTGCTGATTCCTGTGGCACAAGTAGGAAACACTTTCCAGAGTCAGAGTGTGAAACAGCCCTGTCCAACTGCAGTTCCCACTGGAGAAACACAAACCCTCCAGGTCAGTGGTGTGGTCTGAATGAGGAATGCCAGTTCTCACTTTTATTATCACAAGGACACACAAAAAGAATTAAAGATGAGGGCAAACAAAATACACACGACCCCTCCAAACACTACTGTCAAAAGTTTTAACTAACATCTTTGGTTTAGAGACTGCCTCACTGATGTGACTGGCTGCACTTACAGGACGGTTACGTTACCTTATGGTTACAAGGGGAAAGTTTACCAATCTCATTCAAATATAATCAAATATTCAATACCAGAGTTAGATGAAGGAATATTGCTGCAATTATTCTTTCACTTATCCTCCTTTTCACATTGTTATTTATACTTTCAGAATTTGGCAGGAAGTTTCATCTTCTTTTCAGTCCACCTAAAATAATATAATTATTAGAAGTCAGACTTCACATTCTAAAAATGAACTGAGTTGGCTTAGCTTCTAGTGCCCCAGATGGGCATATGTACAAACAGTCAAAATGACCCTTTGAAATGTATTTTGCTAAAGATTTCAAGTCTTCACATGCAAGTAATACACAGGAAGTGTGCTTGGAAGGGTGCAGAGCCAAGAGCTGCTTAAGGGAAAGATTAACAATTAGCACGATTCCCTTAGGAACAGTAGTTGGTGGTTTATTCCTTCATATACTGGCTTCTCAAGGTGACAGGACAACTCTAATGAGGACTCCAATGGTTTAATTACAGTTAAATACCACTCATTTAAGATACTAAGAATATGTGTTGCTGTAAAAAAAAAAAAAAAAAAAAAAAAGATGTGATTTTTAACATAGATTCTTGCCAATTTAGTTAGGTTTGGAGGTCTCCGTGTACAGCTGTGTAAAAATTTGTTTTAGACCAATTTATTTTCCATTAAGGGATTTTTCAGGTGTAATTACAGGCAAAATGTACACGGTGAAAGCTCAGGTGATATACACATTCTGTCTGTTATGAGCAAGTCAAATGTTATTTTCTACTTGAAATTTCTATTGGATCTCTATTCTTTAAGTACAACTATGACAATATCCAACATCGTATGGGGAGATCTGAGTGAGCTGAACCTGCCTGCAAACAGGAGCTTATCAGACACAGCGTTTAACACTGAATTTATCAAACACCATGTTTCTTATCATTTCTGTCTTTGGTCACCTCAACCTGCAGGACAGAACTTCTGCTGTTTTTTTGACTCATGAAAACAAATGAAAAATACAAACAGCAGCAATTTAGGGAGAATGTTCATGTTAAAAGGACTTAGCAGAAGTCTACAGTTTGGGTGTTTCTGGATCGGAACACTGAAGTCTAAAAAAAATAGAATGTTGTTGTTGGGGAAGGGGTTTGTGACTTACTGCAACATTTCTGCCTAAATCTGATGGTCACTTTGGAGATAAAGCATCTAATTTAGTGTCACGAGTTTTCTTACCTTGGGGAGTCAATTCCACTGTCTCCTGTAATGCTGTGGTTTTCTGTCCCTTCTGAGTGTTTCTGTTGTGGGATCACAGGACATGTGTCCTTTACAAGCTGCTCCTTTTTTCCTGGAGGGTTTCTCACTTCTTTGATCTGTGAGCCCAAAGCACAGCATGCTGCTCCTTCACCCACCTCAGGGGTGAGGTTCTGCAAAGCGCCAGCATCAGAGTCAGCGTGGCAGAAATCCGTCACAGCTGAGCCCTTCCCACATTCAGTGAGGCCAGTTCCTTCATGCTTTGTGTGGCCTTTCAGAAGAACCTGACTGCACAGCCAACTTTCCTCTGTGCAGTGTGGTTTTGGATGCTCCTTTGAGCCATCTGTTGATTCTGCAAGGCTGGCACTTCCCTTGTATCTTATATCCCATTTATTTACGGTGGTGTTGTTCTGGGCAGGGCAGGTACTAACCTTGGAGGCTTTTAGGGACACAGCTGTACTCCAGTCTTGTGTGTCTGAAAAGGCGTGCCCAGGGTGCAGGTGTTCAGAATTCTCATCCAGATGTGACAAGTTACAGGTGTCACCATCACGTCCCTTTCGGTACAGAAGATGGGAGTTTTCAGTAAACCCTTCCCTTTCCAGCTCCACTGATCCAGGATGGCTGGCACAGTCATAGTTAAGTTCACTCTTTTTGTCAGTCTTTGGTCTGTACTGCACACCATTTTTTGGGACCAGATTAACACTGGCCGTGTAATTTGACAGATGGACATTTTGAAATTCACTGGCTGTTCGATCTGACAGCTCACATACAGTGTCTGCTTTGCATCTGCAATGCTCATCTTTCTGGTAGAACGAACATTTTGCATCTTCTTTGAACACACCATTATCTTTAATGTAGGGGCAAGGGGATTTTTTTTCTACTGTTCTTTTATAGACATTTTCTTCAGAAATATTACTCTCCAGGAAGTATCTACTTCTGTTATCTATTTGCAGATTACTGCCTTGTGGATAACTACCATTTTCACTGAAACTGTCTTTCTTTAATTGAAGGTCAGACCTATTAGCATGGAGTAGGTTGTTTTGCTTAGCTTTGTCAGCCTCACTTTCTGCATCCAGCCTTTCAGTTGCACAGCCAAAAGGTCCTGAGGAGTCTGAAGACTTTGGCCTTTGGAAAGTCCTTCCTCCTTTTTGAGTCTGGCACTTCAGCTGACTGTTAACACCACCTTGGTGTCCTCTTGCATGAAATCTGTGAGGTCTCCATGGCAGACCCTGAAAAGGATTCTTAATCTGCTTCTTATACATCACGTGGGATTCCGCTGCTACATCGGGTAGGTCTTGGTTTTTGACGGGCAGTGAAAAACTTTCTTCCAGTTTCATATTTTGGGATGTTAGTTTCTGTATGTGAGATTTCCTGCTGCTCCTGTTAATCTGCTTTTCCATCTTTGATTTGGTTTTCCTGGTGTGTTTTTCTGTTTTACTTGGTGCCTTTTGAATACAATCCTTTGAAAGACGGTTTTGGCTGACGGTTGGCACTTCAGCCGAGGTACCATTACTGATGTATTTTTTCTCTTTACTGATACATTTTTTCTGCTCCTCAAACTTCTGCATTAATATTGTGTGTTTAATCAGATTATCAACTGTAAGAGTAGGGTTAATACGCTTGATGATTTCATGTTCAATATCACGTGGAATATTGTCTAAGTCATCTTCATCCCTGACTGGCCACTCCTGGGGAGGAAACTGGCCTGAAAAAGTGGAGTACTCCTTCTTGTGCTTTTCTTTTTTAGAACCACTTCTCCAGAAGAGGCCAAGGCCAAACATTTTGCTTTTCAGTTTTGCTTTCACAGACGTCAGGGATTTGATGGTGTCCCAGGAATGGTTCTCAGCAGACACAGAGATGCCTTGAGTTCGAATTGAAGGCTTCAAGTCACTGCAGCCTCTCTTTCCCTCTCCATTAGATTCATGGCTCATCACCTGCTGATGCCTTTGTTCACAGAGAGTATTTTGGTCAGGAAAACAATGGCAGGATCTGTAACGGGGTACTGTAGGAATGTTTTCTTTCACTAGGTCTGCACGGGGCTTAATGTTTACCAGGTAAGTGATGGAAGGTGATGAACAGCAACAACTGTCCTCCAACAGGATCCTTCTGTTGTCTTCCATGGCATCATTTGTGATAAAGTAAGTGTTGGGAGTGACAGTGAAATAGCCTTCTCCTGTATGATAAATTTTTCTTTCCATAATTAGAGTGCCAAGGATATTATGCAATACTTTGTGGGAGGGCACTGCAATGCCTAGAACAAAGAGACAGATATTTCAAATCAGAAATAAGTTTTTAAATTAAATGGGTTCTGGCCAAAAGATCTCTCTCATACAACAGCCCTGAAATCAACGAAAATTAAATATCCAGAGCATTTAGGTAAAGGCCAGCTGTGTTGCCACTGCAGCACCACTGTGAGGGAGCAAGGATATCGTCTTATGTCTGTCAGGATATGATATTCAGGAGAGAAACCTTCTGCCAGGTACAAACCAAACAGTGTCTTGTTCAAAGCATTTCCCTCCTGGCATGTTACTTAAGAGGGGCTTTCATTACTCTCTGAAGTTTCTGGTGTAGTTTGGTCAGATGTAAATTTATTGCCTCACTGAGACTGGTCTCAGCTACAGTTTTCAATCAGGTGTCACAGTCTCAGAGTCCTTAGTCTAGTCACAGCTGACCTCCTGCCCACAAAATTAAGACCTTCTAGCAAGGTAAAAACACAGCAAGAAATACCTTCAAGACCCTACAAAGTTCGAGTATGCTACTCATGGCTGACCTACAAAATCTGTCTTGTGGTTATCACAGTGCACTTATTGACCGCAACACATTCCTGGCACGGTTCTGTGCCAGTTGGTGGGGTTGCATTAATATTTTTCCCACTGGTTAAAATGCCTACCAGGTCAGCCTATATCATTGGCAGAGCTGTAAGATTAAGAGGACTCAAAAGAAGCAGCTCAGTATCAAACAAAGCAGCAGCTCAGTATCAAACAAAGCAGCCTACTGAGAGGGCCAGAAGGAGCTTTTTCAAAGTCTCAAACACAGTAACACTTTGATATTGCAGATCTAAGGGAAATGGGATATTTTTCAGACTTATAGAAAGCACTTAAGGTAAGTGGCTGCCACCCCATTAGAATCACAGAATATTCTGAGTTGGAAGCGACCACAAGGATCATCAAGTCCAACTCTTAAGTGAGTGGTCCATATGGGAATCAAAAGCACAACCTTGGCATTATTTGTACCATGCTCCAACCAATTGGGCTAGAAGTGAAGATCTAAAGATCACTTAGTAGAAGTAATTTCCTTTCAGGAAATAAAGGGCTAGAATATGACCAACAAATCTGAATTTGAGGCTGGTTATAGTTTTTGATAGCAAACACCAGATGTAGATTCCTACCCAATCCCTTTGCAGTCAAAGTCAGTTGTGTTCCTGTCTCTTAAAGGAGGACTTAACAAGTCTCTGTGATCTAACAGTCTGTTTTATGCTATTCCATATCTAGCACCTAAATACTACTTCTGTGCTTTCCCACCTCTAGAAATGGCATGCTCTCAACTACAGTCAGTTCCCTCTTACTCTCAAAGATTTATTAAAATCTGTGGAAAGATTGCATTCAAGTCAATGTAGCAATACTCACAGATAGATGAGAAGTATGCACATTCATGCCTGTTTACTGTACTCCTTAACCTTTCCAGCTTTGCCTGTAAACATTCCCTGAGCCCTTGTCCAAAATCAGAAACTCAAGCTTGATGATACAGCCACTTTTTAAAGAAGGGAGAAATGAACAAGTTACCTGGATAATTTTTCACTAACTGCTCCAATAAAGTTTCCTGAGTGACCATCACATGATCTGCATTCATGTCTG